AGCCGAAGGCAGACGCCCAACGACTGAGCCACCCAGGTGCCCCTTTAAGATTTTATTTATTTATTTGACAGAGAGAGACACAGTGAGAGCAGGAACACAAGCAGGGGGAATGGGAGAGGGAGAAGCAGGCTTCCCGCTGAGCAGGGAGCCCGATGCGGGGCTTGATCCCAGGATGCTGGGATCATGAGCTGAGCTGAAGGCAGATGCTTAATGACTGAGCGACCCAGGCGCCCCCCCCCATCGTGGGTTTTCATCAGGAGTTTTAAAATAAGGTTTCACGGTGTAGGAGATGGAGTGCGGGGCCCAGCCCTGGGAGACCTCCGTCCTGTCCTCGTCCAGCTCTCCCGCTGCCTGCTGGTGTGACCCTCGGCCTGGCTTCATGGTCCGGCTCCTCCCGCCCAGGACCCGACCTCCACGGCCACATGTGTCTTCAGCCCACACCAGCCAGACCCTTTCCCTCCACCTCCCCAGCCTCCCTTCCCCACCAGGCCCCTCGGCCTTCATCCATTTCTGGGACCTCTTTCCCTCTTCAAGACGGCATCTGTCATCACCCACTTTCACCTGAACAACAGCAAGTATTAGGGAGGTTCACAGACCGTTCCAGTGAGAGGCTGATAAAAAGTACCTGGTAAACTGGGTGTTGCCAGGGAGCGGCTCTTTCGCGGGGGTTTTCCCTTCGCGTCGCATGACCGTAAACCCGTCTTCAGAAAGGGTCAGCCAGGGATGGCAGGTGTGCTGGTTCAGGGGAAAGCAGCTGCCTGCGAAGGTGGAAACAGTCCATCACTGCTGCCCCCTCCTCTCGGCAGCCTGGGCCTTGTGGGGTCCTGCCCCTCCTGTTCCTAACCAGTTACCCCGCACCAGGGTCCCTGTGCCTAGCTCCCAGGAGCGGTTTGCAAGTCTTCGCTCGTTCAGTCCTCACCAATTACCCTTAGAAACAGCTGTTATTATTTTCCCTTGTAGAGGAGAACACAGGCATGGGTAGTTAAAAAAAATCAACCGACAAATGACAGAACTCAAATTTGAACCCCCAAGCCCCTCTGATTCCAGAGGCTTTGCTCTCTGAACCGGGAGGCTGTAAACGCTGGCACACAGACAGGAACCTCTAACCCACCTGCCAGGGGAAACAGGAATTGAGGAGATTCTTACTGATCCATCTGACAAAGGGAAGCGAAATTCAACATTTCAATTAGGGCCGTGGGGGAGAGGGAAGGAGATGACAGCTCTCCCCAAATCATGGTTAAAACAAAGCCCATCACAAAGTGGTACGGAATAGATTGAAGAACAAATTATTTAGTAAAAAAAAAATCCGTCATTTGAGAGCAGAATGACTCATTCTCCACTCCTGTGTCTTATAGCTAAGTTCTATTTTTCTCAAGTTCCTATCCTGTTACTCATCTCAAACCTGGGTTCGGGCGTCACCATCTCAGCTCAGGACCCTCAGCTCAACACCTGAGCTGAGATCAAGAGTCAGATGCTTTAACCGACTGAGCCGCCCAGGTGCCCCTTTCATAAATACACTCTTAAAAAATTTTTATGAACAAACTAAGTCAGAAATGACTGAATAATCAAGAGCTGGCTGTAGCTTTTGCTCTGTTCTCTCTCATTGAAACAGCCCGAATTTGACATTTCAAAACACCAGGTCAGCACAGAAAACGAGGAGGACCAGCCAAGTAAAGGCAGGCCCCGGGCCAACAGAACAGAAAAACCAGCACGAGCCCGCACCAGCTCTGGGGCTTTCCGTGGCCCCTCAGCTGGTTTTTCCCCATCTGTGTGGAAGAGACAGGGCGGGAATTAATCACACAGCTCTCCTCCCGGCGTTGGAAAGGAGGACAGAATGACACAGCGTCCCTCAGGGAACGATCCCAGTCAGAGCCCAGGCTCCAGCTCCCTGCTTCTGCTTCCTACCTGCCCGCCGCCCCGTCAGCCGGCCTGAGCGGGACTGGCTCTGTGAGGGGACGAAGAGCCACTGGGCCCCAGGGCACGGTGACAAAGCTCAGAGCCCGCAGCTAAGCAGTGCTGGGAAAGCAGAGTTAGGGAGTGTTGCTAGCGATGTCTCTGCTCGCCCAAGATCTGGGTTTGTGTGACAGGAGGATGGCAAGTGAGAAGGGGACGGGGCTGGGCTTGGGGGTGTGGCACCCACCAGGGCCAGACAGGGCCTAGGAAGAGGCTGAGCAGCCAGGTCCAAGCTGGGCCTGTGGGTGGGTGGGAGATTCTGGGGCTGACAGCAGAAACAGGAGACCCGCCAAGGCCAAAAGCCCCTGCTGGGAATAACGATGCCATCCTAAGGATGGCGTGTGGCCTGTGTGAGCGATGAGGTGTCTGGGCCACCCAGGTCCAGGGTGACAAGCCTCTAGCCGACCTGAGGGCATGGAGAAAGACCCCTGAGTCGCCACCAAACTGCTCTATGACTTGGGCCTCCAGTCCCCTGTCTATAAAATGGACCCCAGGGCCTTGACATCCCCGAACCCCTTCCTGGCCTGACTTGCCATATTTTCCAGCGAAGTCATGCAGCTCTGGTCGGCCACAGGGCGGCTCCCTCAGGTCCCTGGGAGCATGTGGCCCGGGCACTTACCTGTGGTATGCACTGTCATGGGCTCGCTCCTTGCACTGGGACCCCCCACGTTGAGGGCTCGTACGTAGATCGTGTAGGTCTGCCTGGGCTGCAGCTGCACCAGGGACTCGCAGGATGGGATGCCCACAACCGACCTGCATGAAGAAGCAGAGCTGCGGTCACTGCGTCGTGGGACCGGGCGGCCAGGCCCTGGCACCAGGCCTCCCCTTCGAAGCTGGGAATTTAACCCAGCCTCGCACCCCCGTTCTCCGACCAACAGCGGCACTGCCAGGAGCGTGTCCTCCCACAGTCCACTTTCCTCGTTCCTTTGTGATTCCTGGTGTGTGTGGCCCTCCTCCCTCTGGGATCCCCACCCTGGGGGCCCGGGCACCTAGCCCCACGCCTGGCGTCTAATGCTGTGTCAGTGGAGGTAGGCATGCACTGGGATGCGGGGCGCCCACCGCTGGCTCACCGGGGCTGAGGACCACCTACCTGAGCCCAGCGCTGGGCCCCTAGCAGGCCTCCGTCTGTGTTGATGGACAAACAGAAGCCTCCCGGGAAAAACCCAATTTATTTAAATTCTACTGGACACGAATACAGGCTCATAACTGCCATTGTCTAGTCCTGCAACTGCTAAACCCATTTCAGCCCAGGGGAAAAGAGAAGCCCTCGGGGTGATGCCCGTTTCTGGATACCACACCCTCACCCGACGAGGCCTGGGTGTCCAGGTCGTCCTGAAGGCTGCAGCTTCAGGCCACAGGGGCACATTCCCACGTCCTTCAATAAATATTAACCAGGCACCTTAGGTTCCGGGCGCTGTCGACGGAGGCTCTGGGGAAAACTAATGTAGTCCCTGGCCTCACAGAGCGCATAGTCCGGATGGGCAGCGAGGCACTCCTCAAGCCACCACTGGAGGAAATGTGAGGTGGTGACCATGACATGGTGACGGCGTACTACAGAGTGCCTGATGCTGCAGAGGGGACTTTTGAGCTGAGCTCTGAAGAATGACTTGGAAGTCACTGGATGAAACGGGGCAGGAGCCTCCTCCGTAGAACAGGCATGTGGCGGGAAGGAGCGCGGGAAGGAGGAGAACTGAAGTGTGACAGTGTGGCTGGAGCCAGACAGGGAAGAGAAGCTGGTACGGGGTGAGCTAGCAGGAAAGCGCTAGCGTGTGAGGGAATTTTGTCTTTTCTTCAAGATGATTAGACTTGTACTGGGAGAGCAGGCGCTACCCCAGATCACCCAGGTCACCGACCACCCATCGTTGTGGGCTAGTGCTAGGTGTCGGGTGCTCCTAAGGCCTCAGCACAAATTGCAAAGGAAATCTGGATCATTCAGGCGGCCAGAGCCATCGGACCACCCCTGCCCCACTCCTGAGCATTTCTAGAATAACCAAGGTCAGCCCTGCTATGGCTGTGGACACATGGATTCTACCTGGAACAGAGGGTGCGTGGGACAGATGGCCAGGCTCCAACCCGGCATTCAGCAGAGAGGAACCCGTCTTCCCTGAGAGTTGACACCAGCCCTGCCTCTTCCATTTCTCCAGAGCCAGGCGGATGCACTCTGTGCTCCACAGCTGGGCATCCCCTGGACGTGCTGGCTGTTCTGGGCTGCCTGGCTGGTTCATCCCTCTTCTGTAAACTCTGGGACTGCCTAGTTGTAGACCAGAGGTGTATCCATGTGTCCTCCACTGCCCACAGCTACACACTCGTGGGACCTGTGGGCCCCTGGGGCAGCTGACCCCAGCCTCATCCACCTGTGAACACCTTCAGCTCCGCCAGCCAGGGGTGGACGTGGGCCTCCAGACAGCCTCCCACCACGGACACAAAGTTCTTTGTGTGCGGAACTCTAACCTCTTTTGTTTTGCCTCATGATGCTCTCCCTCCCCTTTCAATTCCAGCGGAGTGGGTCTCTCAGTTCCTCCAGCACCTTATGCATTTGTTTTCCTGTTTGCCCCCACTTGCCAGTCAGCTCCGTGGGGGGAGGAAATTGGTCTGTCTAGTCTCCCAGAGCCTAGGCACAGGACTTGGCACCATCTAGGCCCGCAATACTTGCTGAATGAATGAACGGTAAATCGTTGTCGGGCTGAGAAAGCCAACCCGAGGTTTAAACCATTTATTCACTCATCATGCACTTTCAGTAATACCATTCCAGCAACTTCTCATGAAAACAAAGTAGCCCCAAATTAAGGTTCCCATGTGTCCCAAACTCTGACCTTCCCTCCAGACCCCACGCATTTCCTGAGCTGTGTCACTGTGTCAGGCATCAAGGCCTCTTGTGCCCAGCAAACAGCCCCGGGACTCACTCGGTCACACCCGATGCTTCAGGGGTTTCCGCCTGGGTCAGCTCCACCGTGTAAGAGTCCACGGGATTCAGGTTTCCAGACTCCCAGCAGATGAGCGCAGCCTCTTCACAGCTCCGTATCTCTTTGCTTTTTATGATGGGAGGGGAAGGCGCTGGGTGCAGGACAAAGGGAGAGATGAACAGCCATCCTGCTCACACCCAGCCAGTGTGCCCGGAGCCTGGCCAGACAGCACGAGCACTGTCCTTGCACAAAAGAGATTTGGTGCAAGAAAAAGCAAACCAGGTGCAACAGACGGAGTATCTGTGTCCCCCCCGGGACAACCCTCCCCACAGCCGAATTCATGTGTTGAAACCTATTCCCCAATGTGATGGTCTGTGGGGTCTCTGGGAGATGAGAAGGAGGACGTCTCTTATAAAAGAGAACCCAAAGAGCTCTCTAGCCCCTTTCTGCTGTGTGAGGACTCAGCTGGAACAGAGCCCGGCGCGCTGAACCAGGAAGGCTTCTCATCAGACACTGAATACACTGGCACTGTGATCTTGGGCCCTCCAGCCTCCACAACCGTGAGCTAAATGTCTGTCGTTTATGACCCCCTCGGTGTGGGCTGTTCTGTTATGGACACCCAGATGGACCAAGACACGGGACATCCCTTTCCCACGTTCCTGGAGCAGAAGGGGGTTGAAAAGTGCTACAACACTGTGATCGTGAGCAGGCTTTTTGGTTTTCTGAGACCAACTCTGAGCAAGTATCCCTTCCTTTCTAGGATTCAGATTTGGTGCATTCAGTGAAAGAAAAATATACAGCTATTCCTGCCCTGCCAAATGAAATCGAGGCTCCTGCCACATCTAGAAAGCCATGACTCCTGCATCCCCTGGGGTAAGGTCCTGCTCCAGACACAAGTGGGCCCCATTACCTGTCATGTACACCGCATGCTCACTGGCGGGGCTGGGGCCGGCCCTGTTCTGAGCTTTGACCCAAAATTCATACTGGGTATTTGGCACAAGATTTGTCACTGAGCAGTAGGTTTCTTTGACAGTCATTGTAAACTCTGAAAAAAAAAAAAAAAGACAAGAATTCAACCCTAAAAATTGGCCAAGTAGCTCCAAATTAGTTGTGCTGAATCTCCCTGTAGTAGCTTACAAAACTGGCCACAGATTCCTCCCATCCCTGTAAGTGCACTCCTCTGCAATGTGGTTCGGTTTTTCCTCCCATCCTTTGATGGGCTTAGCCATGGGACTTGCTGTGGCCAATGGGAGAGCAGCAAGCAGGATGCTGGCAGGCAAAGGCTCGGGAAATGCCGGGGCACAGAGGCTTGTCTTCTTGCTGCTGGGAACACATCTGTTTCCGTGTGAACAAGCCCAAGCCAGCCTCCTGGACAATGAGACCAGGTGCCATCCAAGTCATCCCATCCATCACAGCCGTGTCCCCAGATCTGTAAGGGAGGCCATCCCAGACCATCCAGCCCTACCCCAGCTGGTCCAGACTAGAAGAATATCCAGCCAACTCACAGAATTATAAGAAATAATAAATGTTTGTCATTTTAAGCGACAAGTTGTGTATATATGTGTGGAGTAGGGCGGGGTAGGGTATTGTTACACAGCAAAAGCTAACTGATACACCTCCAAACCTCCCCAGACTCTTGGAAGGCAGTGAAAACTCATGAATCCACCCTCTGATATCAGTTCCTTTATCACAAAGCAGCCCATTTAAAAAATCTTCACAGATTGCCAGGAATAGCCCCCACACACTGGCTTCTTCTGTGCATCTGCAGCGAGTATCAACAGAGTGGATTCACGACAAGAGCTGGGCTTAATCAGATCTGGCTTCTTGGTCCCAGACCTCCCTTCTAAAGTCTTCCTCTTTCCCCACTGTGCCCTCTTAAGTCTTTGCTCAGACCACCCTCACCGTCTGCTCACCTTATTCTGAACTCCCTTAGCATCACTTAAACTTACTTTTCTTAAGAATTCCCCTTCCTGGTATGATGCTAAGTGAAATAAGTCAATCAGAGAAAGACAATTATCATATGATCTCACTCGTATGTGGAATTTAAGAAACAAAACAGAGGGTCACAGAGAGGGAAAAATAAGACAAAATTAGAGAAGGACACAAACCATAAGAGACTCTTAACTCTAAGAAACAAACTGAGGGTTGCTGGAGGGGAGGTGGGTGGGGGGGTGGGGTCACTGGGTGATGGGCGTTAAGGAGGGCACGTGATGGAATGAGCACTGGGTGTTATATGCAACTGATCAAACACTGAATTCTGCCTCTGAAACTAATAATGTTAATTAATTGAATTTAATTAATGAATGTTAATTAATTGAATTTAAATTAAAAAAAAAATCCCCTTCCTTCCTGGTCCCTGGTCAGAAAAACCATCCTCACTTTCGGCACCTAGAACCCTCCACCTGCCCGGCCTGGTACAAGGAGCAGAGCTCTGTGCAGGGAGCCTGCAGACTTGACTCTCGTCCTGGTTCTGCCATCACCCAATGTGTCCCCACGGACAGCTCATTTCTCCCGGGGTCTCAGTCTCTGCATCCATAAAGTGGAAATCCCCAAGGCCCTCTCCCCCAACCTTACTCTGCCTCCATGCACAAAGGACAGGCCCTGCTGGCTAGCCTTGGTCCTCCGATTCCTCCAGGGGCTCAGCTGGGGCTCCTCTACCATCTGACCCGCTCTTCTCAACAGGTAAATGGCTTATCTGTTACGTGGGCGGGGGAGGCAGCTACCCCAGGCCTAGCCCCACACCAGCCAGCTCCATTTCCCTGAGAAGAGGATGGGCTGCCCCAAGTGAGGCTAGGGTCCGTTCCCAGGAGCTTGCTCAGCCTGGGAACGTGGGTCTGAGCAGCAGTAGCCTGTCCAAGCTGCAGAGGCCCCCTACCCCTCATGAGGGTCTGTGGGCTACCCTTCCAGTCTCTACCAACACAGGGTTGCTCTGAGAAGAGCCAGCCTACCCTCCCCTCAGGCTAGGCCCATGAGAACCCAGACAGCCCAGCTAGGCCTCCTCAAGGAGGGGTGTCCCCACCTTTCCTGCACACAGTGCAGCCAGGGACTCATCCCAAGGGCAACTCTGACCTGATAGCTCTATCTACACTCCAGACACCTCAGCCTGGCCTTGTGACTCTCCCCAGCCAACTTGCTTTTCTTGCCCTTTCTGCCACGCTCACCTGCCTGCATCCCGTCCTCTGGGCAGTTTCTAGATCACGACAGATGCACAGATTCATCCCACCTCTGCCCTTCTGATCGCTAGGAAGGCAGGGCCCTGGCCTCTGAGGGCCCTTAGCCATTGCAGGACGTGAGTGTGTTCTTGGCAGAGCCTCACCTGCGTGGTCCTTCCCAGGCGAGCTGTCCTGCACTGGCCGGTAGGACAGCTGATAGCTCTCCACGGTCTCATCAGAGTATAGACTCCAGCACACTCGGACGGAGGACCCCGTGGCAGAGTTGGGGGCCTGTGGGTTTATCTCCGGAGCAGAAGGAGCTAGACAAGGAAAAGGGAGAAAAACAGACAAGTGAGGAGCCTTACGTAGAGGTGGGATGGGAGCGGCCCGGTCTTAGGACTGCTGGTCCCCCGACCCATCTACGGGCTTTGGCAGTGGAAGCAGCGGCCCAGACTGGACAAGGTCAGGAAGGCCAACCCTCCCAACCTTGAGCCTGCGAGCAACAACCAGCATGTCCATTCCTGCTCTGACAAACCCACACAAGCGTGGGGCAGACGGCTCCGTGACGAGGACTCAGGCTGGGGTGTGGTTTGCCAGACCTGCCCTAGGTTCGGGTCCTTTGACCCCTCCCACGCCATCCAAAGAGGCAAGACAGCCAGGACCACAGTGGTGTGGCCACAACCCTGAAGTGAGCCACGGAGGGAGAGAAGTCTTCAACAGGGAAGCTCTGCTTTCTTTGGGGACCCGTCCAACGGCTATGTCTTCGTTCTAATGAGAGAAGACTGGGTTGGGTGCCGTTGTGCTTTTGAGAACCACCCTCTTTAGAATCCATCTACTGAGTCCATTCATTAATTCTCTGTAGGTTAATACTTCTGCCTCCCCACTCCCCTGACTCACACGTAACTAGGAAACACTCCTGGTTTTTCCTCCATGATTCTTCTCCCATGCCAGGACTTCCCTCCAAACCAGGCTTGGTTCAACAACCTCAGCTTCCAGTTTTGACCGTGCTCAGGCCAGGTAAGAACACAACCAAACTCCAAGGAATTTACTTAGCCACAGCTCAGCCTTTCCCCTCTGGCCAGGGCCTGGAAGGTCCTGACATGACGAAGGAGGGGAGGAAGAGAAAGACACCCGTATCCCCAACTGACAAAGTCTGGGAGGGACAGCGGGTGTCCTTCTATACCCTGCGAGGAACAGCCCCACAGCAAGAAGAGCAGGAGATGCAGTGAGAAGAGAGATGGCCCGGGGGTTGGGAACCTGCTCAGGAGGCTGCAGATGTGGGCAGGAGGGGGTGGTCTGCACAGGACCTGGACTCAGGGGGGTGAGGTGTCCATGTGTCTCAAGCACTGACTTGGGTGATAGTGCTTTTCTTTCCAAATGCTGGGGCCTGATTATTTGGGCAGCACCATCCCTAGAAGGGGAAAGGATCATCCGATGGACATCATAGCTCAGTGAAATCACCCCTCAAGCCATGAGTCTAAGCATGGCCTCCAAGACTTATAATTAAGGATGTCCATTACAGTGTGGTTTCTAATGGGGAAAAACTAGAAACATCCCAGCATCCAATCCAGTTGAAGATTAAGTAAAGAAATCAAGGTATATACTCATTAAAATGACATTATAGACGAACTTATCAGTGCAAGAAAATATTAATCATAATTGTTTTGATAAAAAAAGCAGGTTACAAAAGAAAATAATTCCCTTCTTATTTCAAAATATCTGTGTAGGGGCGCCTGGGTGGCTCAGTTGGTTAAGCGACTGCCTTCGGCTCAGGTCATGATCCTGGAGTCTCGGGATCGAGTCCCGCATCGGACTCTCTGCTCAGCAGGGAGTCTGCTTCTCCCTCTGATCCTCCCCCCTCTCATGTTCTCTCTCTCTGTCTCATTCTCTCTCTCAAATAAATAAATAAAATCTTTCAAAAAAAAATTAAAAAAAAAATCTGTGTAAATGAAAAACCTAAAATGATATATACAACATTTTTACAATGTAGTTGGGGGTTGGTGAGAAAGAGAAGGTGAGCAGTCAAAAAAAAAAAAAAAGCTGAATTACGATATTATTCTTAGAAATCAGTAATCACAATATTTTTAAGAGCTGTTTGGTACCATGTGACATACTATACATATATCACCTCATATAATTGTCACCATATCCCCAGGAGGCATTATGATGTCCATTTTGCAGACAAGGAAAGACTCAGAGAAGGTAGTTAAGTTGTCCAGAGTCACACAGCTAGGAGGTAGCAGGCCTGGGATTCTCACCAGCTCCACGGGATCTCAAAGCTCATCTCCTAGCTACTGTGCTAGGCAAGTAAATAAAATTCGGGCTACTTACTTGGAGTAACTCGGGCAGGTGAACAGGTGTTTGTGAATCTGGGCAAGCTATAAACAAAAAGTATTTCAAGGCTGCCCGGGGCCTGATGTTGGCTCCCTGGAAAGTGAGGTAGGCACTTACCCCGGGGGAGGTCAGCCACTGTTCTCCCCCTTATGAGCCATAAAGACATGAAATTAGAATGAACGAATACTTGCTCCTAAATCTTTATGATTTTTTTAGCCATCAAAATGTCTAACTCAAAGCTCAGGGAACTGGAACTTTGTGGGAAGCGCACACGCAGGCGAAATATGCACCAGCGATGGTGTTAATGGAGCCCATGAGCTGCTCCACGTCAGAGAAGTCCAGAGTCTGGTCTTCAAAGTCAGGCTGTGTAGCAATCTCCACGTCTGTTTCTGTATTCAAGAATCTTCCAAGTCTGTTGGCATAAAAAGATGCGCTAATGAGAATGAAGAGGCATGCTCCTTAGGGTATGTCTACTGTATGGGTCCCTAGTAATACACGAGAGCGGCTTCTTTGCTGGGTTTTTACTTCTTTATTTTAATATGCTGCTGGCTACCTTCTGCCATCTGCTTTGGCGACTGACCCAGGGGGTCTCCAATGGGGTCTCCAATGGGGAAGGGTGGGACTGATCTGCGCATTTGAGGGGAGGGAAGGGGGTCAGCTGGGGGGCATGCACAGGTGTTGATCTGGAAGCTCCCATCCCCACACGTTACCCCAGGCCCCAAGATGTACAGAATGGGGGGCTTCTTCTCCATGGGGCCAAGCGCACTCAACCTGCTAAGGGTGGACAGGGGCTCTGAGCGTTCCTGCCTCCTGGCAGTCATGGGGTTTGTGAGTGGCAGGGGCAGAATCTGAAACCAGGTCTGTCCTTTGCCAGAACCTGTTCTCTTAACCCTTATGTTATCAAGCTTCAGCATTCATGTTGCTTTACAGATATTGTCTCATTCAATTCCCATAAAACTGTTCTTGTCTGCAGATCAGGAAGGTGGGTCCTAGGCCGGCTGGACTTGCCCAGGGTCCTGGGGGGGAGCAGCATTTGAACTCCTGTCTGACTCCACGGTGTGCATACTTTCTGCGGTGCTTCGTCTGGGTCCTGGCACAGCTGGGGGATGCTGGGGACACTGGATCCTGGTTCCTCCTGGTGAAAGGAGGAGCTCACGAAGGAGACCCGACCACAGGCTTGCTGGCTGGGCCTGGCCATACGCTCCCTTCCAGCCCTGGGATCCTGAGATTCAGTGCTAGCGGGTCCTTGTGACCCCCATCTTCCCTCCACAGCCAGTGCTATTTGATCTCGGGGCAGACACAAAAGCTGAAACTGGGACCAAACACCCAAGGGGAACTGAGTCTATTTGGAAAACTAGAGGAACGGAGAAAGGCACAGAGGGAGAAAACGTGTTTCAGAACAAAACTATTACCTGTCAGCCATGGCCACAGCATCCTAAAGAGGAGGAGGAAAGGGAGAAAATATCAAACTGATTTTGCAAATACATTTCTTTTTCGAACGATATAATGACACAAACACATTTTAAGACTTGGAAGTGAGGAAAAAGAAAGGCTCTAACAAGACCTCTAACAAGACCACCCCGCCAGGCCCGCGCTCTGGCCCTGAATTGGACGCACTGCGTGAGCACTCCACACTATAGATGTTCTTCTGTTCCGCCAATCTGAGACTGCACAACAGTTCACTGAAGGGGAACGCCGTTGTTTATGTAGACATTCCTCTGTTAATGGACGTTTCGGCTACTGCTAAGGTGTCATCATTAGAAACATCAGTGAGAACACTTTTGCACATACCGCCTTCTGCCCATTCGGGATTACGTCTCTGAGATACAGCGATACTGTGGGATCAGTGGTTCACGAGGTCTGCATGTTGGGGGCTCTCACGGGGCCTGCCAACTTGCTTTCCAGCTTCTGTTGCAGGTCCCTTGCCCCAAGCAGGAGTAGGGCAGGAAGGAAGTGCTGCTGGGCTTGGAGGGACCGCCACGGGCCCGGGGTCAGTGTGGAGGCCCGGGGTCAGTGTGGAGGTTGTATTTGGCAATTGGGAAGCTCTGGCGGCTGAGGGCCCCTCCCTCCCATCCCGGACACCACAACCGCCCAGATTCCTGTGGGATCTTGTGAAGAAAGGGGACCCCACCTCTGACCGAGATTGAAATTCCCACAGTCCGGCAGCATGGGGCCTTGAGGTCAGATTTAACTGGATTTCAAGGAAATTAAAAAATGGATTTTTTTTTTTTTATGTTTGAGTTTATAAAGATTTAAAATTGGTGCGCTTGTAACTGGAGAGTTGGAGGTGCCTTTTTAGCCCAGACAACCTCCTCCCTGGGGCTCGAAGGGGCCACCTGAGGTGACGAGAAAACTCTCAGAACACTGCCATTGCTCCGCTCCTGGCGAGGGGACGGGTCTCTAGGAGAGAGAAACTGAGGCTGGGGGAGTCCTGAGCAGCAGTGGAGGGAAGGGGTCAGCCGTGTATGGGTCTGCTCAGCCTCTCACGGCAAAGCTGCACAGAGACGTGCTGTGACCTCCTCGCCATCGTGAACATCCAGGAACCAAATGGAGGCTGACCACAGCGGTCAACAGCCTCCAGGCAGAGAGGGAGACCCTAACCTGCCCAGCCATGCTGTCACTTGGGTTCGTGATCTCATGTCACCTCATGACTGACCTTGATGAAGTCAACCTTCTCCTCATGGCACATCTCCTCTATGGTTTCCATGAGTTCCTTACAGGTGTCGAGGTTTTCCCCACAGCTGACCAGCTGTCCATACAAGGCTTCCAACTTCGCTCTCTTTTTCTCCCCTAGAGCTTGTATTTTTTCTTCATACTTTTGAGCGAGTGTTTCCAAGATCTCGTTGTAATGTGACTCAAAGTTTTGTTCTTGTCTTCCGAAGTTCTCCTGTAAGACAGTTGACCTCAACCATCATCACAGTGGATGTGGTACGTCAGCCATAGAACCATTGGGGGCGTGGAAATGTATCCACCCAGAGATGTTTTAGTCACCTCCCCTGGGTCTTATCACCTCTTGCCAGGATGCTGGGGTGGGCACAGTGGGAGCTAGGACCAGGAGTCTGCAGTTAGAACCCTGGGATAATCTCTCTCCTGGCAGCATCTTGCACCCCTCCCCCTGCCCCCCGACCCCAAGCTGCCCCACCTCCACTGTGGCCACTGCATTCTTGGAAGGTGGTCAGTGAGGAGTCAGCCTGCCACCGCATCCTTGGACCTTAACACGGAGATGTTTGCCCTGGGATATGCCCACTAGCTTTTCCTCCTGAGCCCCCAACATCTCACGACACTCACCTCCACTCCCTGATGCTCGCATCACACGAACACCAGGATCACACAGATTCTCACATCAACTAAGAGAACAATGACGGGGAAGGGGAGGAAGGGTTGTGGCTGATGGTGTGGCCTAGTAGGTGAGGAAGCGCAGGAGGGCAGAGGGAGGCTCGCGGCCGTACTTAATCCCGGGGCACAGCCTGTCAACTACTGGTCCTCTCACTTGGGGTGGAGGCCAAGAGAGCTCTGGGGGTTCTGACTGATGCCAGCCTCAGCAGACACCAGACACACTTCCAAAGAAGAGGCCCTTATGAATGACTCAGGGAGTATTTGCCGAGCATCTTCTAGGAGCACAAGGCTTGCTCACCATGGCGCCAGTCCTGGTGTAAGAGGGAAAACTCAGAGCCCTCACTGGGGGGTGACTGGCTTTGATCTGACAGTGAGCAGCCAGTGTGAGTGTAGGGAGTTCTGTCCAGGGGGTTGTACACTTCTCCCTCCTACCACTACCTTACGTTCATGCCTTCCCGGTGCCCTGCAGAGGGGATTAGTGCAATAGTCCTCCTCCCTCTTAAGACCGGGGGTGAAGAAGTTCCAGCTTCATGGGAGAGGGGCCTGGGGCTGAGCTAATTCATATGAGGTGCTCCTGTGGACACAGTCCGAGGCTGTATTATTAACAGAAGCAGGGCATCCGCAGGAAGAGAAGGGAGGTGGAGAGTCTCCTGATCCTCAGTCCTGGTGCACCTTATCTGGATGGCGAGGCTGAGTGCTGGCAACATCGTGGTGTTTTATATACCTAATATCACACCGGGGACTGTGACATGTTTAGTGACAGGCACAGACCATGTGTATTGATCTTATGAGACACAGTAACAGCTGGGGACACGAACAAGGAAGGATGGGTGTCTTGCAATGCCTGGTCAAGGCTGGGCCATGAAAGAGCCCCACCTTGCAGCAGGGCTGAGGCTAGAAAGACAGAGGAGAGCTTCGGTGCAGGAGGGAACGCAGACAGGTAACGGGCTCCATGAGCTATATCCCCAAGGTCCCCCGGGAGAGCAGGGGGGGAAGTCGGGGCAGAGTCTCCCACCCCGGCCACAGCCGCTGAGCCGGCCACCTGCGGCAGCAATGTGGTCTGATGGGTTCACCACGCCCGCTCTTACCTCCACGGTGATGAAAACCTCCTCCAAGTGATTTGCAAAATTCTCCATCTCGATAATCTGCTTTTCCAATTTGAACATGTTTTTGTGAATTTCATCCTAGCGAACAGAGGATCGCAAGGAGACGTTAGCGCTTTCCCTGTCTGTAGAAGGCCTCTGACAGTCGTTCGCAGCCTGCCTACTTGACATACACACGCATTATCCACAGCACGGACCGAGGCCACCTGCCTACCTTGGCGCTCTCCAGTGCCTTGCTGAGCGGGGTCACCTCATGCTCTCTGTGTTCGTCCGAAACCTCCACCGCCCTTACTGGAGCTCTGCAAGTGGCGCAGAAGACCAGGGCGGCTTCGTCCTCGTCCTCGTCCTCGTCCTCCTCCTCGGGGATGACGTAGCACTCGAACTCCTCGCTGGCTCGGCCGTGCGCGTACCTGTAGGCTTCTCGCAGGTCCCGGCTGGAGCCCGCGGCGCCCCGGCCCGCACAGACACGGTCCCCAGCCTCGGCCTCGGCCCCCAGTCGCCAGTCCCTCTGCACCCCGTGCAGCAGATGGTCCAAAACCTCCATGTGGGGTGCGCTTCCGTCGGCGAGCTCGGTGCCCCACTCGCCAGCACCTCCGAGGGCGGACAAAGGGACAAGCTCATCCACATCCTCCTCCAGGTCTCTCTGGGCCTTACCTGGGGCCGTCCCCCCGGGCTCGCTGGCCATCTCGGCGTGGACTTCTCTTCCCGTCTGCGTGGGTTCTTCTGGGAAGAGGTGAAGCCGGTCTTCGGAGTCATACAGATCCATGGGGTAGAAGTGGAAGTCTGGGGAAGCCCCCGCAGCCTCCCCCTCCATGGCGCCTCTGCACCTGCAGGGCTCCTCCCCCGCGGCTCCTAGTGGGCGTCCTGGGGCCTAGGACACAGGAAGAGGGGGGAACCCCATTGATGAGCAGTGCATGCCAGTAAGTGGTCATTAGATTGGGCTCCACCCACTCACAATTTTTTAAAAAATCGTCTGAGGAGCTCAGCTGTGGTTTTACTTTGAACCATCTGCAGGGCGGTTTACTTTTTCCAGGAAGGAGGGGCTTTCTCAGCTTAAAGGGGACCAGAAGTTACCAGAGAAATGTCAATAGCTTCCTCTTCATTAAAACAAACAGAGGCCAAATAATGGGAAGTGTCTCAGGCAAGTATTACTACATAGCATAAATTGATAGAAAAAATTAAGATCTCAATAAATTAGTGTGAAGGACAATTCACAAAGTAATCACTTGTGCAAAAACATTTGGGAAATGGTCCATCCTTATGAGTAACAGGGAACAAATAAGTAAGATGCCATTTTTTTGCCTTTCCAGCAAGCAAATATTTGAAAATATAAGAAGGTTCCCCAAGGCTGGGTAGGGTACAGCGAAGTGAGTACTCTCACATGCTGCGGGTTGGAATGTAAACCTTTCTGGAGGGTAAACTGGATAACATGGATCAGGAGCCTTAAAAATGTTCCCACTCCTTAAGCTAGTAATCCTCATCAGGACCCTGAAGGGAAATAACCAATACAGAGGAAAAATGTTTCTATATAAAAATATCCTATCACAAAATCTGGGGGGAGGGAGGGGCAGAGGGAGAGGGCAAGAAAGAATCTTAAGCAGGCTCACTCCCAGGGCAGAGCCCAACGCAGGGCTTGATCTCATGACCCTGAGATCATGACCTGAGCCAAAATCAAGAGTCAGATACTCAACCAACTGAGCCACCCAGGTGCCCACAAAAATTTTTATGACAGCAGGAAAAAAAATTGTAAAGCCCTAATGATTAGGAGAACAGTTAAGTAAACTAGGATATGCATACTGTATAGAATATAATGCAGACTTTAAAATATTAGGGAGAGCAAATGATAACTTGGAAAAAACTTACAGTTTGATATTAAGTAAAACAAACAGAATACTCAATATACAGAGACTATAATGTTTATTCTTTAATGGAGGCACATAAAATCTAGAAAGAAATAATAAATGGTAGAAGTAATAAATACCACATTAGGAGCAGCTACTACTTACTGAGCACTTACTGTGTGCTTTTTCTGTGCTCGGCAGTTTATAGGCATACCCCTGTGTGGTCGGCACTGCTATTATCCCCATTTTACAGATGACAAAACTGTGGCTCAGGGTATCTGGAGCAAAGTCCTACAGTGAGGAAGTTGTTGAGCTGGGACTTGAACCTTAGTCTGTGTGGCGGCCCTGAGACTGTGCCTGAAAGATGTCCAGCTACGGGGAGCTTAGGTGACCGGCTGTTCGGCTGCGCTCTGAAACCCATCATCACATTGCATGGAGGACACACTTCCCATGGGCATCTCCATCCAACGACAGAGTGGATACTAAGGCAGATCCATTTCTGTTTGACACAAAACTCCTCTGATGGCAGATTTTGGCTGGAGGACTCCTTGACAGCCTTGCCAAACCTTTCTTAGGGTGCAAGGCAGACTGGGGTGACTCCTCCAAACCATCCTTCCCTCCCTCACTCGGGGCTGGACTTACATCATGGTCTGACAGCTCTCTCAGCCTTTCCTATCTTCCTCCCCATTTTATCTCAGACAAGGGCTTCCCCTACTAAAGTCCTTGTGTATCGAATCCCATTTGGGGCCTGCTTCTTGGAGGACCTGAATTACACAGACTGTTGGACTCCAAAGTTCCTGTTTTCCTCTTGGCACATAACTGCCATTATTTTAGATTACTTTTTATAATAGTTTTACTGATAGAGAATTCATATACCATACAGTTCTCCTATCAGAAGTATATACTTCAAGGGTTTTTAGTATATTCACGAAAATGAGCAGCAATTACCACAGTCCATTTTAGACCATTTTCATCCTGTCACAAAGAAACTCTGTACTCTTTAGCTATCACCACCCACATTCTCTCATTTCCACCAGCCCTAAGCAACCATTAATCTACTTTCTGCCTCTATTGATTTATAAATGGAATCATATAATATACTGGATTCATATAATGGAATCATATAAATGGGATCATATAATATACTGTCTTTTGTGACTGGCTTCTTTCATAGCATAATGTTTTCAAGATTTGCCCATGCTGGGGCGCCTGGGTGGCTCAGTCGGTTAAGCGACTGCCTTCGGCTCAGGTCATGATCCTGGAGTCCCGGGATTGAGTCCCGCATCGGGCTCCCTGCTCGGCGGGGAGTCTGCTTCTCCCTCTGACCCTCCTCCCTCTCGTGCTCTCTGTCTCTCATTCTCTCTCGCAAATAAATAAAATCTTTAAAAAAAAAAAAAAAAGATTTGCCCATGTTATAGCATGTGTCAGTACTCATTGCTTTTTAGAGCTAGATAATATTCCATTGTATGGGAATACCGTATTTTGTTTATCCATTCATCAGCTTATTTGCATATTTCCCTTTTTAAAGATTTATTTATTTGAGAGAAAGAGAAAGAGAGAGAGTATAGGAAGGGGCAGAGGGAGAGGGAGAGAGAAACTTAAGCAGACTCCCCACTGAGCGTGGAGCCCAATGTGGGGCTTGATCTCACAACCCTGAGATCATGACCTGAGCAGAAACCGAGAGTCAGATGTCAACCAACAGCACCACCCAGGAACCCCTGCATGCTTCCCTTTTCATTTGGGTTGTTTTCACCTTTTTACTATTATAAATAATGCTGCTAAAATGTTTGTGTTCAAGTTTTTGTGTGGATATATGTTTTCATCTCTCTTGGGATATGTGTTTTCATCTCTCTAGAAGTGAGGTTGCTGGATCATAGGATAACTCTATGTTCAAATTTCTGAGGAACTACCTGACTGTTTTCCAAAGTGGCTGCGTCATTTGACATTCCCACCAGCAGTGTATGAAGGCTCTGATTTCACCACATCCCTGTCAACACTTGTTATTATCTGACTTTTTGATTATAGCCATCCTGGCAGGTGTGAAATAGTACATGTCATTGTGGTTTTGATTTGCATCTCCCTGATGAATACTGATGTCAGGTATTTTTTCTTGCATTTATTGGCCATTTGTATATCTTCTTTGGAGAAATATCTATTCAAATAGTCTGTCCATTTTTAACTGGGTTATTTCTAAGATTTCTTTACATATTCTAGAAACTAGTCCCTTGTCAGATACATAATATGCAAATATTTTCTCCCATCTTGTAGGTTGTCTTTCCACTTTATTATTATTATTTTTAAAGATTTTATTTATTTGACAGAGAGAGAGAGCACAAGCAGGTGGAGTAGCAGGCAGAGGGAGAGGGAGAAGCAGACTCCCCGCTGAGCAAGGAGCCCAATGTGGGGCTCAATCCCAGGACCCCAGGATCATGACCTGAGCCAAAGGCAGACGCTTAACCAACTGAGCCACCCAGGAGCCCCCTTTTCAAAAGTTTTTTTTTTTTTTTAATTTAAGTAGGCTCCACACTCAACATGGGGCTTGAACTCATGATCCTGAGATCAAGAATCACACACTCTATGAAATGAGCTAGCCAGGCACTCGCATCTTTATTGATGGTGTTCTTTGAAGCACAAAAGTTTTTAATTTTGATGAAGTCTAATTGATTTTTTTCTTTTGTTACTTGTGGTTTTGGTGTCGTAACTAAGAACTTGCTGCCAACTCTGAGGTTAAGCCAACCTTGCATCCCTGGGATAAATCCCACTTGGTCATGGTGTTTAGTTTTTTATATGTATTACTGGGTTCAGTTTGCTGGTATTTTTTGAGGAATTCTGCATTCCTTTTCCTAAGAAATATTAGCCTGTAGTTTTCTTCTCTTGTAATGTCTTTGTCTGGTTTTGGTGTCAGGAAGATACTGGCCTCACAGAATTAAGTTGGGAAATATTCCTTCTCTTCTATTTTTTGGAAGAACTTGTGAAGGACTGGCATTAATTCTTCTTTAAATGTTTGGTAACTCACTAGTGAAGCTATCTGGGCTTTTCTTCCTGAGTTTTCTCCCCGCTATTATTAATTCAGTCTATTTTTTTATGGGCCTATTCACATTGTCAATTTCTTCTTGAGTCTTTTGGTAGTTTGTGTCTTTCCAAAAATTTGTCCATTTCATTTATCTAATTTATTGGAATACAATTGTTCATGGTATTCTTTTTAATTCTTTTATTTCTGTAAGGTTGGTAATAATGTTCCCCTCTTTCATTTCTGATTCTAGTGATGTGAGTCTTCTCTCTTTTTCTCTTGGTCAGTCTAAGTAAAAGCTTGTCAGTTTTGCTGATCTCTTTAAGGTTTTCTTGGATTTTCTCTATTGTTTTTCTATTCCTTTCTTCATTAATTTCGACTATAACCTTTAGTATTTCCTTCCTTTTGCTTGCTTTATTCAGTTTGCTGTTCTTTTTTCAGTGTTTTAAATGGCAGGTTAGGTTGTTGATTTAAGATCTTCTCTTTAAATACAGGCATTTATGGCTATAAATTTCCCTCTAAGCACCACTTTTGCTGCATCCCAATAATGTGGTAAAAACTTTTGGTATGTTTTATCTTTATTTTTATTCATCTTGAACTATTTTCTAATTTCCCTTTTGCTTTCTTCTTCAATACATTGGTTATTTAGGAATGTATTTTTAATTTCCACATATTTGTGGCTCCCCAGATTTCTCTGTTATTGATTTCTAACCCACTGTGGTCAGGGAACATGTTTTTGTAGTATTTCTATCCTGTTAATTTATGGAGGTTTGTTTTAGCATTTGATTTATCCTGGAGAATGTTCTATATGCCTTGAGAAGCATGTGTATTCTGCTGTTTTTGGGTGGAGCGTTCTCTAGATGTCTGTGAAGTCCAGCTGCTTTACAGTATTATTTGAGTCCCCTATTTCCTTGTTGATCTTCTTAGTTCTGTTATTGAAAGTAGAGTACTGAGGTCTCCAACTGATACTGTTGCGTTGTCTCTTTTTCCACTTATATCACTTTTTGCTTTATGTATTTT